TAACTTTCTAAGCAGTTCGGAGAACCGGTTGTTGGAAGAAATCTCCTTTTGTATTTCTCCACTTTGCAGGGTTAATCCTGTAAGGAAGGCAGGAAGGAAACATTCTGGTGTTTCTAGCCTCATCTTTATTGACCTGCTTACAGAAACTGCCTCTCCAGTTAACCCTTATTACCATTGTAATAGCTAAGGTGAAGCGCCCATCGACCTGAGTGACCTTGAGTTGGCCACGCCCACCCAGTCACATGACCACCGAGCCCCACCTACCCAGATGGTCATTTGGGCAGAGAACAGGTTGTTAAATTATTTGAATCCTACCCCTGGTGTAAATCCACCCAAGTACCATGTGTTTGAGTATCTGATCCATGTTAGTTTTTTTAAAACAAATATTGAATTTCAATCTGTCTAGTTTATTTCCATAATGATACATTACTTCAGCAATAATGGAAAAGTCCCTTATTTACTAGACTCTTCATTTTACCTTAAAATCATGTAAAAAGAAAAGGCTTTTAAATATATATTAGTAATAGTTATTCAGTGCTAGTTAGAGAACCAATGTTTCCCTTTAAAATTAGGCAATTCAGCAATAAATGCTTGGGCGTGGATAATAGGAAATTGACTTTAAACCAAAGATCAAAGCATCAACACTGTACTGAGGCAGGTCTTCCCCAAACCCATAGCTTCCAGATGCGTTGGGACTACAAGTCCCAGAATGCCTAGCGTATCTGGAGAGCCGATTTAGTGATTATTTCATTTCTCCCCCCCCCCCAATGCTTTTTTATCAAGTTGACAAGCACAAAAAGCACCTAATCAATACAGAAAACTCACAATCTCTCTCTGTTTTAAGAAATAAATTTAGAATTATTTCTTAAGAAATGCCTTGCTTGGGAATGCAAGACAAAAGAATCACAAATACCTAAAAAAAGAGAACTCAGTTCTTTGATTATTAATACCCTGGTCGGTGATATCAGCCTTCCCATAATCAAGTAGTAAAAAATTTACCACTAAGCTATTGTGATGCTGTCCATTGACAAATGCCTTTCAGTAATTTTGAAATGTTGCTATATTGACTTTTGACTTACTGAAAACATCCCCGCCATAAATTATGATAAATATTAAAAGCTATTGCTAAGTGCTATTTTTTTTAAGGCTACATTACAATATATAGTTTATCATATTTATGGAAACTTATTAAAAACAGACTATTTTAGTGCTTGTAGTTTTAGTATATTTCTGGAATGGTCTTGTTTTGTGGAACCATCTCTTAAATAGTTGTTACACATGCTGGAAAAAAATGACATAACTGAAATCAACATTTAATTTCATTACAGGATATTCTCCATGCACTCTTTTAGGTATATCGCTTGACCATCACAATCATTCCCTGGTAATCGGTGGGCTGCACAAAATCAAACAGTTAAGGAAGCCAAAATACAAACTAAATAAGATTACCTTGTTAAACATCAATTTAAACACACATTGTTATAGTAATCCGAGATAGGAAACTGACTAGACAGAGGCATTTCTTAGATAGGCAGAAAAACCCTGCAGAACTTGTTTTTGTACTTGTTCAGATTTCGATTTCTTTTTTAAAAAAATCAGTATTTACCTACAATAATTTGACTTGATTGCTACCAACAACTCTCTCATCCCTGAACTAAACACAGTATGTACAGTACAAGAAACTCACCATTTTTTTTCATAGCTAACTAGTGAAAAGCAGCCAAAGGCTGATAGAAGCTTATCAGAAGTATTCACAGACAATCTTCTCTGTATCAGCTCATGTCTGCCAAAAAAAAAAGTCCTTCATCCAGTGTTTATTGCTGATCAGTGGAAACAAGAAGCTGCCTATTTCCAAAGAACGACATTTCAGCAACGATGGCATGGCATCAGGATGGTATGGTGGAATGATACCTGGAGATTCTTGTAATGGAAGAGAGCGATGGGATACATAGCTCTTGATCAACATGAACAGTTGGATGTCTCAGTCTGTGGAACCATCACTGGCCTAGCGTCCAGATGGATGTTGTGCGAAGATCCATTCTCCCCATGAAGTTGTAAAGTATTCCTAGCCATCAGTTCCTTAGCCATCAAGATAAAAACCTCGTCAATATTTTGGGCCTCCTTGGCTGAGGTCTCCAGTACAGCTAGAAGGCCGTGTTTCTCTGCCAACGTGCAAGCGTCTTCAAACAGGACTTGCCGTTTCTCTGATTCGTCTGATTTGTTCCCTTTAAATTGGATTAAAGCCAGGTTTAGATTTCCAGTGGATAGTTGAGGCAAATAAACAGAGCAGGGGGGAAAAACTAGGAAGCAAACCCAGGAAGCACAACATTCTTATGCCATCTCCTTGCTCCTCCTTCCACAGTGGTCCTACTCTTCACATTTTCTCTCCCGTTACCCTGGCAGCTGTTACGAGCATTACTCTGAGGATCATAGGTGGCACAAACCTTGATGATGTCATAAAATTATTGCATGAATGATACAAATTTGATAAGCGGTTGTGTGTGCAACTGATGCAAATTTACACAGTGTGTATCATTGTAGCATGACATACATACCAGTATATCACCGAAGTGAGTACACCCTGTCACATTTTTGTTGCCAGCAGTTTAGACATTGATGGCTGTGTGTTGCGTTATTTTGAGGGGACAGCACATGTACACTGTTATACAAGCTGTATACTCACTACTTTACATTGTAGCCAAGTGTAATTCCTTCAGTGTTGGCACATGAAAAGATATACTTAAATGTTTACAAAATGTGAGGGGGTGTTCTCAGTTCGGAGATATACTGTACTGTCACTTAAAGATCCCAATTCCACAGATATCTATGTCGAATTCTCAAGACGACACACTCTGAACAGCCATGGCAATAGCATGCCGTATACTGAGGACCACTTCAGAGCCAACAAAAATGGGTGGCTGTATAAGTCTATACAAAAGAGGTACAGTGACTTACGACCACAATTTCTGTTGCTAAGCAAGACATTTGGTAAGTGAATTTTGCCCCATTTTACCACCTTTCCTGCCGCAGTTGTCAAGTGAAGCACTGCATTTGTTAATTTAGTAGTAATAGCACTTAGATTTATATACCACTTTACAGTGCTTTTACAGCCCTCTCTAAGCGGTTTACAGAGTCAGCCTATTCCCCCCAACAATCTGGGTCCTCATTTTACCCACCTTGGAAGGATGGAAGGCTGAGTCAACCTTGAGCTTGGTGAGAATCGAGCTGCCGAACAGCCAGCAGAAGTAGCCTATAATACTACACTGTAACCACTATGCCACCACAGCTCTACTAAAATGATTGTTAAATGAATCTGTCAGAAGGTCGCAAAAGGAGATCACATAACCCCAGGACACTGCAACCATCATAAATATGAACCAGTTATCCAAGCATCTGAATTTTAGTCATATGATCCTGCAATGGTCATGATTATTAAAAACAGCCATAAGTCACTTTTTTCAGTGCCCTAACTTCAAATGGTCACTAAATGAAATGATATAAGTTGAGGACTTCCTGTACTTCAGAGAGCTGTACATTTTTTAAATGCAATAGACTTCTCTAGAGGCTGGTTGGAAGAACAGAGAGTAGAGATTTGCTCCAATTCATTAGCCATCTCAGCTGATCAAACAGCTGTTTACTCCATAAAATGGAAGGCTAGCCCTACAGCAACATTTGGTCCCTTCGTTATCTAGCCCAATGGCCCTCAACCTTTTGGGCACCAGGGACTAGTTCCTTGGAGAGAGGTTTTTCCCCACAGACTGGTGAGGGCATGATTTCTCATGCTGCCTGCATTCCGCGAATGGGACTTCACTTGCTTGCACAGAGCAGTTTCTGGCATGCCAGTCCATGGACCAGGGGTTGAGTACCACTGATCTAGCCACAGGACAGGCATTGAAGGACATTTTATTATCTTCACTGAAGATTTCTGGTTTCAGATTAACAATATTTTATTTTTATTTTATTGTCCTGATTCATCTACCCAAATAACCTCATATTATCTAATATTAGGGCTGCCCCCAGGGCAATTAATACAATAATTATCGATCATTTAATTGTCTAGCCCTATGATATTCACATTTTATCACAAAAGATGCTTGGTTTTTTTTCTCTCAATTGTCTAAATTGAACAACAGACTCATTATTATTTTCAATGTTTTGACAAATACATTAACTTGATTTTAGTATTTTACCTAGAATTCATTACTATATAGCTAAGAGGATTCGTGTTTATTCCCCAATTATTGACTCTGTATTTTAAGAGATAAAGTTAGAACTGCATCTCTTAAAACACGACGTCAATAACTGGGAAATAAATTTTCTCTTAAGATGTTTATACAAGATCTTCAATATTTCTTGCCCACCAATTATGTTTCAGTAAAATAAGTACTATTTGCCCCCCTTCATTTTAAAAGTAACTCTCAAACTTTCCAACTAAAGGGTAGAGGGGAAGAGATGGGATAGACTTCAGAACTTACCAATCAACATTAGGACCAAATTTGCTGCGCCAAATTTTTCAATTTCATAAATCCAATGAGGAATAGACTCAAATGTCGATCTTTTGGTTATATCGTAGGCGAGAATAGCGCCATGGGCACTGCGGTAATAACTTTGAGTTATTGTGCGGAAGCGTTCTTGGCCTGCCGTATCCCATACTTGTATCTGAAATTGGAAGGAAATTAAAGAGAGGCAGAAACAGAAATGGTCTCTCCAAGCACCTTAACACTAGAAATTGTTGCTCAGTCACAACTCTATCTTAAAAGACCAAGTTCCCCTTGCACATATGTGGTAGTTGTTCCCGACTCTAGGGGGCAATGCTCATCTCCGTTTCAAAGCCGAAGAGCCAGTGCTGTCCGAAGATGTGTCTGTGGTCATGTGGCTGGCATGACTAAATGCCGAAGGCACACGGAACACTATTTGTTACCTTCCCACCAAAGGTGGTCCCTATTTTTTCTACTTGCATTTTTTACATGCTTTCGAACTGCTAGGTTGGCAAATGCTGGGACAAGTAACGGAAGCTCACTCTGTTACACGGCGCTAGGGATTCGAACTGCTGAACTGCCAACCTTTCCGACCGACAAGCTCAGTGTCTTAGCCACTGAGCCACCACATCCCCTTCCTCTATCTTAGCCTTGTGTAATTATATTTACAGTAAAATCTCTAACACAGCTATTCTCAGGCAAGTGATGTATAACTGTATTTCAAAGCTTTTCCTGACTTGGGTATTCCAGAACTTTGGGAATTACCAAATATTATCCCAACTGCAGCTGTAGAAAAGATGCTGCCAAATAACCTTTATACTAGCCTTCTCTGGGTCTGGAAAATCTACCTGGATCTCCTGACTCATGTGATTTCCCAACTTCTGGGATTTTCCCCATTCAAAGATGTGATGAAGCCAGGACTTATTCCCTTCCCCCTCTTTAGAAATGCTTGGAAATAGACTTTACTGTTTTCTTGGCCCAACTTCAATGATTGAAGTTATAAGGTTATAGTAAGGATGAGGATGGAGCACTGGCTAGAATTCAAGTTTTACCTCTCCTCTGCTGCCCAGTTAAACTGCCTCCTTTCCTTTCTCATTACCCAAAGCCCAGGGAGCAGCTATAACGACATTCATACAATGGCATGAAAGTGCAAGAAAGATGAGAAGTGTGAGGCTAATGGCTGGGTGGAAAAAATCCTATCCATCATCAAAAGACACAATAGAGATATAACGCTCACCTTCACCTTCTTGCCATCAATTTCCAGGGAACGCACTGTAAAGTCAACCCCAATAGTGTTCTGCTGCTTCATATGGTATTGTCCAGACTTGAAGCGATGAACCACACACGTCTTCCCCACATTTGAGTCTCCAATCAGAATGATCTTGAACAGGTAGTCAAACGCATCATCCATCTCTGCATTGGTGAAAGCCATGATATTCTAGAGTTTTGAGAACTTTGGCCCTAGATTAACAAGGGAAGTGGGGGGATGAATGCAAAAATGAAAACCAGTGTACATTTTAAAACCTAATTAAATTACAAGTCACTTAAATGCTTTTGATAATTTGGTGGTGCACACAAGTGATGTATTCTGATTTAGCAGATTCATCAGTGGTTTTGTAAACAAATAGACTTCTTAGCTACTACAGATGGTCCATTTTAACAATCACTTGTTCAACGACACTTCAAAGTTTTGAGGATTATGAACAAGTGGTAGTTATGACTAGTCCTCGAAGTTCCAGCCACTGCAACACCCATGATTTTGATCCAGGTGCCCAACAACCAGCCCAGATTTCTCCCAGTCATATGAATGCTATTTGCAACCTTCCTTGACAGCTTCCCACAAGCAAATTCAATGGGGAAGCTGTCAGAAACTTGGAAGTCACCATCACATGAGGTCTTCACTTAAAGACCCACACGGTTCTGTCTTAACAACGGTAAGCAGGCACTGCTGGAACTGCTGTTGCTAAGTAGCGTGGCTACATGATATTATGCTCTACGACTGCATCACATAGCAATGGAAATTCTGGCTATAATTATCATCGTTAACCAAGGACTTATCGATATGCCTAAAGTCAACAGAAAAATTTACTACCCCAGAAGCACCTGTAGCAAAAAATGAGGATTGCCAGAAGGTTTCCACAATTCTTCCAGTGTGGTTGCTTTCCTAGATTCAAAATTGTGTGGCAATTCAACTCTTGTTGAAATTCATCTTCTTTAGAAAGAGGCCATATAGGCTATTGCAGTGGTATGTTGGAGAAGCTGGGCCTTTTAGCCTACTGCTGAAACCAATGCTTGTGAAATCTAAAGATTATCAAGATTTAACCTTTTCTTTAATAACAACTTGTAAATAAGATTGCAGTAGTTCTCATCCCCATCATATATTAAATACATCAGGATTTTTGTTTTGTCTTGTGCCTTCAAATCAGTGTTGAAGTGGAGTATTCTCCAAAATCTCTGCAGTTTGACAAGATTTTGGAAGTGGTTCACCATTGCCCCCTTCCTAGGGCTGAGGGAGAGTGACTGGCCCAAGGTCACCTAGAATGGCTTTGTGCCTAAAGACAGAATTAGAACTCACAGGTTTCAAGCCTGGTGCCTTAACATCAAATTGGTACTCTATCACATGTATCTCATGTTAATATTAAAATTTTAAAACAGGAAGGACGAGACGGAGAGAGAGAGAGAGAGAGAGAGAGAGAGAGAGAGAGAGAGAGAGAGAGAGANGAGTTTTAAATTGTTTAAAGAAATGCAATAGACCTGACAGAGATACGATAGACTGCTTGTAAAGGTGGTTGTATGTCTGTGCTGGGAATGGCGCCCCTGTCATGTAGAATTTTGCAGTGCAGTCTGTTCGTTTCCCAGGTCCTGCCCAGAATGTCGGATCACATCTAACTTTGTCATTCCAAGTGAGTACTGGGTGGAGGAGAAGGAAGAGAAGCAGAAACTCATTCAGAAATACAAGGAGGCAATGAGGTATGAGCATTGCAGCCTCGAACCGAGTTTGACTACGGAGGTTAAAGGGCGTACATGGAGAAAAGTGTTACCTGAAATCCTCTCATGCCTCTTTCCCACCCCACCCCATGAGATGCATCTTTAACCACGAGCAGATGCATGCTGCGTACACAAGTAACCTTTGTGCCAACTAGCCTCATGTGCTGTTCCCTTGTCCACCCGGTATACAATTTAGTCATAAAATAATAGCACATTTTATTCTGGAGTGTTTCCTCTGCATGCACTTATCCATACGCACACCTTTTCAGTATGCACATCCACGTAATCCACTGTGTTACATATGTTAATTAATTTAACATGGTTTCCGCAACAGTCTTACTTTTTTTTTTAAAAAAAAAAGTCACCTGGCTTATAAAGCAAATACAGTACTGAAAATCTGATTGGCTATGCTGTGAGTAAGGGTTGCGATATTTTCCTTTCCAGCAACAAGCCATGCAGGTATTTTGATGAAGGCCGTGGGAGCTGCCCATTTGGAGGGAACTGTTTTTACAAACACGCATATCCTGATGGCCGCCGAGAAGAGCCCCAAAGGCAGAAAGTGGGAACTTCAAGTAGATACAGAGTAAGTCCCACTGCTTTTGTTGACTTTTTTGTCCCCTTTGCAATAGAAAGATAAGTTTTGAAGTAGACAATTGAAGATAGCTGAATAAAAAACTATTTTGACCTACAGGATGGGGAGGGGGGGCATCAAAAAAATAACTTTGTGGAAGCAAAAACTTCATATCCTCTTGTAATTTTTTTCCTTCACTGTTTTTTGACATTTTTTTTTAATCATGAAGGGGTAATCAACCTAAAGTCTGGGATTATGTAATGGGCATGATTATATGTAACGTAGCCAAATCAGAGCAATGCCGATACTTATATTTTTATGTTGAATGAAGTTTCTTGTAGGCTGACTTGAAATAGTAGTTGATTATTTTTGTGAAATGTACATTGTTCTACATACACATTAGCTTAGTGCTACTTAGAATAATGTGGTCCCCGTTGCTAAATGTCTACTTTAATTATAAAAGGGTGGATAACAATGTAGCTTTAATATTTTTATTTTATTTTAAGAACAATCAAGTACTCCTCCCTTGAATGAAATCGTATCAGAATTAGCAAGAGAGTGTTCCTACCAACTCTAAATTAGTAAGAAAAATTGATGAAAGTCTGAGTGTATCCCACCCACTAGCCTGGAACCTATTAGGCCTCTATTGTGATCAACTAAGAGCTTAATTATCCCCTTCCAACATCCCTTGTTTGGTGTTTCTTGAAAGTGCAGAAAATGGATAGTAATCAAAGATACCTCCTATTAGGTAGATTGCAATTTGCAGGCTTGTTATAATGCTCTGGTATTTGTCTGTTTTCAGGCTTTATCTTTGACCCAGAGGTACACCTTGCGTGCAAGTATGCAGAATGTCTGCCCAACAGAAAAAAATAGTTGTAAAAAATATCAGGATCACGGTTATATTTTTTATCATCCTAATTCCTTGCACCAGTATCTGTAGAGATTTTCTTTGACTTTCAGATACTGGTAGCATTACAGAGGCAATCTTGACACTCTAAATCAGGGGTTTCCAACCTTGGCAACTTCTAAGACTTGTGGACTTCAACTCCTAGAGTTCTTCAGCCAGCAGGCTGAGGAATTCTGGGAGTTGAAGTCCACAAGTCTTAGAAGTTGCCATGGTTGGAGACTCCCGTCCTAAATAATCCCCCTTTGACCGAGCTTTCTCAGTTTTATTCAGTGTTTGATAATGAGGAAGGAGGACTATTGGAACACTAGCTGTAGGAATCATCTAGGTCTAGGTTTGTTTGGGGAATGGCACTCAGGTGAGGCCAGTAATTCTGCTCTACTTATAGGCTCAGCGGAGAAACCGGTTCTGGGAATTCATTGAAGAGAGGGAGAGCAGCGATCCCTTTGAGAATGATGAGGATGAGGTGGTGACCTTTGAGCTGGGTGAAATGCTTCTCATGTTGCTGGCGGCAGGAGGCGATGATGACCTAACAGACTCCGAGGATGAATGGGACTTGTTCCATGATGAGCTGGAAGACTATTATGACTTGGACCTATAGCACATTTTTGTGGTGTTTGGACTGTCTGCTCCATTTCCCCCCCCTCCCCTCCCAGGCAGTAGCTCTTTTTCCTGTGGTGTTGTGGCAGTGCCTGTGTTTTTCTCCTAGGCAGGCCTATCAATTCCAGGTGCTGCTGTTATAATAACTCCCCACCCCACTCTCAAGACCTGTCTCCTTTTCCCTTCCCTCCCTCCTGTCCCCTTCTTCCAAGCCCTAGGAGTGTGTTTCTTTTTCTGTTAAACAAATGACATAAAATAAACCTTTAAAGCGTTAGTTTTTTTTTTTTTTTTTTTTTGGGTAAAAATGAATTTAACTGTCAGACAGTTAGATTAGACTTGTTGCTTTATATCTGTATTCCTGACAGGATTCACCCAGTTCCAGGGTTCAAATGTTTACAGGACTTCCATACTCATCTTTAAGAGCCCAGATACAAACCTGAGAACACTGGCTGTACAGCAGGGGGGGGATGGGCAGATGTTGGCCAACTGCCTTGTTCCACAATAAAGAGACTCTGAAAACCAATTTTCCTACTTCAGATTTCAGGCCAGCACATATTTTCTTGGCTGGCTTTAGCTCCATTCCAACCCCCCCTCTCATGTACATGTGTTCATTTGTGGTTTTGGTCTCTTGTTTACTTGCACATTTACTATTTACTACTGTGTAACCAGAACCAGGTGCGAATGTTCCGGTTTTTACTGTTCGGCATGAAAGGCAAAATGTGTTTGTGTGTGAAAGGAGAACTTTCTATGTATGTATATACAAATAAAATACAGAGTTGTATCCCAAGGGCTGGGCAACTTGGTATATGTGTGTATTAAACCCTTTCCCTCTATTCTTCTCATTCCCTTCTTTACACAAACCTTTTGGTGCATGATATCTTAACATTCAACTGGATTTTGAAATGAATGTTGTGGTCTCAGCAAATTCTGTGGAAATAGTCTTTAAAACAACTAATAGAGTAGACACTTCCTTATTGACACCAGCACTCCATTCTCTTCCTAGTCATCCTTCTACTCCTTTTGGGTGTATCTGAGTCACACAGGTGTAGGAATATTGTTAGCCAGAATTTGGACCAAATTATCCACTTAGGGGGGTAACACCATATTGGGGTTCTTGTACTCTCTTCATCTTTGCAAAACTGTAGAACAGTGTGATAATTAATCAGAGTTAAAACCACGAAATCCCTGTCTCTCTCATAAGGATCCTTGTTGCCTTGCAGAACACCTGAGTTCGCTAAGTAGCTGTACAACATGCATGTTGCTACATTATCCATAGAAAAAAAGCAGCCAGGCACCAGTTCTGCTAGGAACTCTTGAGGTCCTCAAAATCTTTCTCCCGCTTTTCCCCTCCCCTCTTCAAGGGAATTTTAACTTTCATTACATTTAATGCTGCTGGGTTGTCCTTGAATTGTTCTGCTTATGTCCTTTTAGATTGCATTTCCTTTCACTTTTAATTGGAATCAAAATATGTTGCTGAAGTCTGTGTTACTTTGCAGCTGCCTTTTGTAAGAAGCACTTTTCCCAAATAAAAAAGCAAAAAAAAAAAGTATGATCTCTGTATTCTTGAGATTTTATTGGGATGGGGGCAGCGGTGGGATTAAAACCTACCAGTTTAATAACCAGTTCGGTGATTTCATGCTTTGCATGCTCAGTTTTGAGAAAAAGTACCATCCGCATAAGTGCTGGGGAGGAAAACAGCGGAGGTGCAGCAATCCGCCCTGCCACGTGACTCAGCTGAAATGATATAGGTAAGTTAAGCGCACGGGCCCACATCATCGTTAGAGCGAACCAGTTCACCCCCAGCTGATGGTTGGAGCTACCGGTTTGCCTGAACTGGTAGAATCCCACCATTGGGGGGGGGGGGAGGGAGATCAATTCGGGAGGCTTTTTAAAATTTTTGCAGCAACTTGAGTATCAGCATCAATTTCTATTTAAACACTATAATAATTGCAGTGATCTAAGGTAACCTACCATAAATCTACCTGGATTATTAGATTAGGACAATTAATTTTACCTATAGATCTTCCAGGTTGTCACTGTGAGAAATCAGCCTTATTATCTCTGAATAAATCAGATGCCTTGTTTAATGGATCTAATTTATTTTGTTCAAAACAATTAACAGCTTTTGGGACACCTATTTTAAGTAAAGACAAAACTGGCAGAAAACGCAGTATTCTCAGTGAATTAAAATAAATGATTGTGCTAAGTATATTTGTGCTCAGTATATGATCTGATCCTTGTAAGCTATTAAGATGAATTGACCCAGTAATATCTAGTGTATTCCAAACCTCATTTATTTTAGCCTTTCACCATGCTTCTGTTAATGTAAATAGTCATTAAAGACATTACTTTCTCATTTCAACCTTTCATCATTTTAGAGCTGAATAACCTTGGAAGAAAGGTTTTGGCTTTAGATATGGAGGTCTAAAGAGATAATGGGCTTTATGGCTAGAATTATAGAAACTTACTACAACAATGAGTATATTTGACCATACAAGTCTGAATGACCAGAGACCTTTCTCTACTCACATGCTCTGCTTGTGGTTGTAGTAGAATGGGGGAGGGGGGAATGCAATACCCCTATTGGGGGATAAACACTGTCACATGGATT